ATTACTGTTTGTTTCAAGGACCAACGCTGGGAGAGAAGAGGTATATATTTTCTAATAGAAAACCTTTCCAGATTCCACTCAATTCCAACTTTGTTAGTGGTTTCGACCCCTTCTTTCTCACTTAATGTACACGAGGGTGTGCATGCGTGTATATTAGTGTGCATACATACACATACACACACACACACAGAGCTTCAAATCCTGTCCTGAAGTCTCCATTGTGGAAAAATATAAAACAAAGACCCCCAAACCAGAAATCACAGCATAAAGATTCATATTATTTAGTCATTTTCTCATTTCTGTTAGAAAATAATTTTCTTTTCTAGGAGATACAAATTATGGAATTTAGTTTGAGAAAAATATATTTCAATGTGAAAAAAGGCAATCATAGAGTCAATAAATTTTAGGAGTTTAGCAAGTGTAACTGGAACATGCTAGGTCAAGACTCTAGATTGCGCATTTGTTAGTACCTAGGTTTTAGGACTATGAGTCAGATCTTCTACCTTTCTGGATGTTGGTTTTCTCAACTGTGAAATAAGTGAATTAGAAGACATTACTATGGTCTCATCCAGCCTAAAAAGAACTTGATTCTAATCCTATGAATGCTACTTCTAGGGTAAGTGAACAAGGCTCAAAGAAGACAATTCAATGCCTTGGAAAGTTAGTACAGTATAGCCATTTTATTTTTTGTCCTTTTTGAGACCGGCAGCACCGTGCTCAGCCAGTGAGCGCTGTGAGCGCACAGGTCATCCCTACATAGGATCCGAACCCGCGGCGGGAGCACTGCTGCGCTCCCAGCGCCGCACTCTCCCGAGTGCGCTATGGGCTTGGCCCCAGTATAGCCATTTTGGATTTGAGCACTGCCAGTTCTCAGTTTAATGTTCTTTATGCTTTAAAAGACTTATGTTCTTGTGGATTATGAAGATTTTAAAACATCCTCTATTCCTCCTCTCCTCCAATTACATTTTCAAGTCTGGGCACAGCTAAGGCTACAATAAATTGTGGAGCACATACAAAATGTCTTTCTCCTAATATACAGCTTAGAGCCTTTCTGATGGAGTCATGTTTACTATGGTCCTGAATGGTTTATCATAGAGGTAGGACACAGTATGCTGGTATGTAGTGGTCATCAACTATACTGTGCGTAGGGGCATTCTGCCTTCAAAACAGGGTGCACATGTTCTCATTCCCACTGGAATCCCAAGATGTCCCACAATATTCTAATGAGCTCAGCTCTTCTCTGAGAAACTAAGGCTGATGCTCTACAGCAGCTGAATGGGCATGTATCAACTGCCTTTGTCTCTACTTTGTATTCTAGTCACTGGTACTGTAAAGACTTCAAAGGTGACACTGTGGAGTCTCCTAAACAAATAACAGACTTTCAATTACTCTCAGAAATAGCTATCTTGGGGCCGGCCCGGTGGCGCACTCGGTATAGTGTGGCGCTTGGGAGTGTGGCGGCGCTCCTGCCGAGGGTTCAGATCCCATATAGAGACTGATCCGCTCACTGGTTGAGAGCGGTGCGGGCGCGACAC